GTGGACTTCAACTCCCAGAATTCCTCAGCCAGCGTGCCACGTTCGAAGACCCCCTGGTTTACATGGTTCCTATGGGCCACCAAGGGGGGAGACCCTCCCTTCTCAGCGCCCATTCCCCGTTCCCTTCCCATCTCACCTTTCAAAGACACAACCCCAGTGGTGTCCTCTGGCTGGATGAAACTTGGCAGAGCAAAAACCAGGACCTTGGAGATGGGGCCATCTTGTTGGATGCTCCAGCTCTGCAGCACCGCTTCAATCCGGAAGAAGAGAAGGGTCACCAGTCAATCGATCCAACCGTCCCTGACTTACTAGGCCGCCGTCCGAGCCTTGAGGAAGACCCGGAGGTCAGCCCCGGAGGAAGAGGGCGGCGGGGGGGGGAAAAGAAGGGGGTCTTACCCCGCTTGGCTGGTTCAACCTGAGCGACCCGGATGTAGCCGCTCTGGCAGCCAAAAGCCGTAATCCGCTGCCCCGAATTGGGAATGTTGTAGACGTCAAGCCAGAGCACGCTGCAAAGCAGGAAGGATCGTTGAGAGAAAGGTTGGGGGGGAGGGAGGCAGGGAGGAAAGGAAAGAGAAAGGGATGGAGAAAAAAGAGGAGGAGGAAGGGAAGGAGGAAATTGGGAATGAGGAGGGAGGAAAATGGGATACACTAATCCAAGGGTAGGCAACCTTGGCTGTTTTATGACTGGTGGACCTGCACCTGTGGGAAAAACACTAGGATGATGTTGAAATAAATATAGCTGCTCTCTCTCTTTAAAACACACATATATATAGAGAGAGAGATATTCCTGTGTGTGTGTGTGTGTGTGTGTGTCTATTTGTATTTGCATGTGTGTGCATATGTATGTACGTGTATATGTATAACATTCCAAAGCGCCTGAAGGCAGGACAAGAAGCAACGGGTGGAAGCTCATCAAGGAGAGAAGCAACCTAGAACTAAGGAGAAACTTCCTGACACTTAGAACAATTAACCAGTGGAACAACCTGCCTCCAGAAGCGGTGAATGCTCCAACACTGGAAGTTTTTAAGAAGAGACTGGACAGCCATTTGTCCGAAATGGTATAGGGTTTCCTCCCTGAGCAGGGGGTTGGACTAGATGACCTCCAAGCTCCCTTCCAACTTCTTCTTCTTCATCATCATCATCATCATTATTATTATTATTATTATTATTATTATTATTTCCTGACCTGTGCCCTCTTTCCAAATCCCCATTCTGCCCCCACCTCATGCCTTAACAACAGCCCGGGTTGCCTACTTGCTTGGAAGTTCCTTAAGTTCTGGAAAGAGATTCTCGACCGGCTGCTCCTCAAACTGATGGAGCTCTTCATTCTGCAAAAAAACATAAATAAATTTTAAAAAAAATAAATAAGGTACAGGCAGTCCTCAGCTTATGGCCACAATTGAGCCCACCCTTTCTGTTGCTCAGTGAGACGTTTGTTAAGGGAGTAGAAGGCTGGGGTTTCTTTGGAAAAAAAAAAAAGGACCCAAAGGAAAACTCCAGAGGCACCATAGAGGCGAGTGGCTAGAAGGCCCTGAGAAGCCACGTCCATCCGGAGGCCTCACCTCTTTGTAAAGATGAATCGCGGGATCGTTTCCGCTCAGGAGGAAGACGGTCTCCGGCCGGTCGGCAACCTGGACTCTACGCCAACAAAAGTAGCAGGTCAAAGATGTCCATTTTGAAATCCCACCACCACCACAAATGAGAATTCATCACGTTCAAACACAGGCAGTCCTCGACGTACGACCGCAACCGAGCTCAAAGATTCTGTTGTTCAGTGAGACATTTGTTACGGGAGCTTGGCCCCGTTTTTAGGAGACCGTTCTTGCCCGAGTGGTTAAGTGAATCACTGCGATTGTTAAGCTAGTCCAGGGGTAGTCAACCTTGGCTCTTTTATGACTGGTGGACTTCAACTCCCAGAATTCCTGAGCCAGCCGTGCTGAGGGGAAAGGGAGAGGTTTCCATTCTGAGCCATGCTGGCTCAGGAATTCTGGGAGTTGAAGTCCACGAGTCATGAAGGGGCCAAAGTTTCCCTCATGCTGGCCCAGAATTCCTGAGCCAGCATGGCTAAGCATGGAAACCTCTCCCTTTCCCCTCAGCATGGCTGGCTCAGGAATTCTGGGAGTTGAAGTCCACGAGTCATCAAAGAGCCAAGGTTGCCTACCCCTGATCTAGACTTAGTGTTTCTCATCCTTGGCCACTTGACGATGGGAGGACTTCAACTCCCAGAATTCCTGAGCCAGCAGGGCTCAGCATGGCAACCTCACCCTTTCCCCTCAGCATAGCTGGCTCAGGAATTCTGGGAGTTGAAGTCCTCCCATCGTCAAGTGGCCAAGGATGAGAAACACTAAGTCCAGACCAGGAGTAGGCCACCTTGGCTCTTTTATGACTCGTGGACTTCAACTCCCAGAATTCCTGAGCCAGCATGGCTCAGCATGGAAACCTCTCCCTTTCCCCTCAGCACGGCTGGCTCAGGAATTCTGGGAGCTGAAGTCCACGAGTCACAAAAGAGCCAAGGTTGCCTACCCCTGGGCTAGCCACATGGTTGTTAAGTGAATTTGGCTTCCCCTCTAATGGATTTTGCTTGTCCGAAGGTCGCAAAAGGGGAGGACGTGACCCCGGGGGACGCTGCGACTGTCATAAATACGAGTCCCCTGCCAAGCGTCTGAATTTGGATCGCGTGACCACAGGCGATGCTGCAACAGTCCTAGGGGTGAAAAATGTCACAAGTCCATTTTTTCCCTGGGCCGTTGCGACTTCGAATTGAACCGTGGTTAAGTCGAGGGCTACCTATACCAAATCAGAAGGTCCATTTAAGGGAATGTCCCACAACCAAGGACGCGGTTAGATTTCACAGCTCAGCATCTACAACTAGGCCGAGTGAGGGGCATCTATTTGAGGCTGGCTGTTAGGTCAAAACGCCAGAAAGGGGCCAGTTTAGGAGCCCTGCTCTCTCTCCAGCTCTGCTCCAATGAACGCGGAGCGAAGGAAGGAAGGGAAAGAAGTCGTTCTCCCAAGTTTCCGATCGGACCGTTGTCTTCTCTCGAGTGCGGAAGCCTCTCGGAGGAGACGTGGCTAAAGTAGGGAGTGACTCACGATGAGGGATGAAGGACTGGCTCATCGAAGAGTTTAATCCTAGTAACAACTTTGGAGAGGCAGTGCAGCTCCGACTATTTTAATTTAGAAAACTCTTGGAGGGAGGTGTACTCGTCAGCTGGGTGGAGAGCTGGAGCATCCTGACGGCAGCTGACAGCCGCTAGCTCAGAAAGGGAAGCGGACAAATATAGAAAGCGTTTTATGTTTTCCCTGAATTATTAGTCATGACAGCCTTACGTCATCTCCAGGTTCATGAACATCATTTTCTGGGGAACAAACAATTTTCTTTCTTTCTTTCTTTCTTTCTCTTTCTTTCCTTCCTCCCTCATCCTGCATTCTCCTTCCTTCTTCCTTCCATTCCTATGTCCTCCCTTCCTCCTTCGTCCTGCCTTATCCTTCCTTCCTTGTTCTGCCTTCTTCCTTCCATTCCCATTTCCTTCCTCCCTTCCTTATCCTGCATTCTCCTTCCTTCTTCCTTCCATTCCTATGTCCTCCCTCCCTCCCTTCCTTCTTCTCCCTTCTATTCCCATTTCCTTCCTTCCTTTCCTTCCTTCCTCCCTTGTCATGCATTCTCCTTCCTTCTTCCTTCCATTCCTATGTCCTCCCTCCCTTGTTCTGCCTTCTTCTCCTTCCTTCCTTGTTCTGCCTTCTTCTTCCTTCCATTCCCATTTCCTTCCTCCCTTCCTTATCCTGCATTCTCCTTCCTTCCATTCCTATGTCCCCCCTCCCTTCCTTCCTTCTTCTCCCTTCTATTCCCATTTCCTTCCATTCCCATTTCCTTCCTTATCCTGCATTCTCCTTCCTTCTTCCTTCCATTCCTATGTCCTCCCTCCCTTGTTCTGCCTTCTTCTCTTTCCTTCCTTGTTCTGCCTTCTTCTTCCTTCCATTCCCATTTCCTTCCTTCCTTCCTTCTTCTCCCTTCTATTCCCATTTCCTTCCTTCCTTCCTTCCTCCCTTGTCATGCATTCTCCTTCCTTCTTCCTTCCATTCCTATGTCCTCCCTCCCTCCCTTCCTTCTTCTCCCTTCTATTCCCATTTCCTTCCATTCCCATTTCCTTCCTCCCTTCCTTATCCTCATTCTCCTTCCTTCTTCCTTCCATTCCTATGTCCTCCCTCCCTCCCTCCCTTCCTTGTCCTGCCTTCTTCTCCTTCCATTCCCATTTCCTTCCTCCCTCCCTCCCTCCCTCCCTTGTCCTGCATTCTCCTTCCTTCTCCTGTTTTCTTCCTTCGTTGTCCTGCCTTCTTCTTCCTTCCATTCCCATTTCCTCCCTCCTGCCCTGTCCTGCCTTCTCTGCCCTTCCTGCCTCACCGTTCCTAAAAGACAAGTAAAACCCCGATGTGTGGAATTTCTGCACGGATACGGCCGCATTAACTTCCCGCAGGGGAAGGTGGCTAATGGCGAAGGCCGAACGTTTGCTCGCTTCGTTGAGGTACGTACTCTGCGTGGTACAGCTGGAACGGTGTGAACTGTAATTCCAGGTTCAGGCAGCTTTCTGCGAAGGACAAAAAGGCACAAAATTAACGTGCATAAGAACCAATGAGAAACAGGCATGATTCTCAAGCTGAGAGGAAGACCATTAAAAGCCACAACAGCACTGAAAAAGTGACTTACAACCAGTCCTCGCACCTACGACTGTCTCAGCATTCCTTACAGTCGTGTGATCAAAATTCAGGTGCTTGACAAGCGGCCCGTATTTTCCAAGGGTTGAAGCGTCCCAGGGTCACCTGGTTGCCACAGGGGACCTTCCCAAGCAGCTCCCAGCAAGCAAAGTCAACGAGGGGAGCCAGATTCATTCAATGACCATCTGATTCATTTACCAACGGCAGGGATTGGCTTAACCGTGATTTAAAAGATCATAAAACCAGGTCCGGCTCACTTAAACAACCGCCTTGCTTAGCAACGGAAATTCACATCCCAATTGTGGTTTATCACGTTTGGGGATTATGAAAGTGTCCGAGAGAGATAACATCCTCAAACTGCAGCGTCGAGGACTGAGTGTTATCCCAGGTAGGTACAATTTCTGAGATGTTATTTTAAAAATATACCCAGCCAATTGTCTGCAAAAGGAGTCATTAATGCTGGTTCTTGTAGTCATCGTGGTTTCTATCGGTTGGTGCAACTATCTAACTGTCTCTTTCCACTCAGGAAAGCAGCAGACATAGGGAATCAATTCTTTTAAAAAGTCGTATTTTTTTATAACAAGAAGACATTTGTCCAAGGAGCAACTGCATGAATGTTCTCGCTATTTTTCTTATATCCAGCTCTCAAAAGGCTCTTCAGAAAATCTCGGCCAGGGAAGCAGAAACAAGACAAAAGATGGCATCGGAGAACAGAGTTGGGCAGAGAAAACTCACGTGCAATAGAATCCAGATTATATTCAGAGCCGGGCTCGTAGTCGCAATAAATATTAAGGAAGGGGCTGGCTTTGTCTCCAGAATCCTGAAAAGGAAAAATAAAGCCATTAAAACAATTGCTGCCAATCATCCCATCTCACCCAGTTGCTAAGCAAGAAGAGGCGGAATGACCAGTAATAGTCAACTGGGAATATGAGGGACAGGGGATACTCCCCCAAAAGAAGAATCCAGCCCCGTTGAGACATAGAAAAGCATAGATCTCAACAGAGTGTCCTCTAGATCTTAATCTGTTTAAAGCAGCCTTGTCTGTATGTATGGGGACAGGTCCCCTTCGATTTATGCAAATGAA